GCAGGAACCATAGTTCAAGACTGAAGGGGAAAAATCCCAAAGTGGACCCAGTTTTTATGACCTGTTGCTTGGTTAAAATATTAAAGCAGTTAATAAGGTATAAAAATATAGAAGCGCTCCTAATAGGTGCTACTCTAGTTAGTAGTTATCTGCCTATTCTTACTCCCTATATAAGTGTTGCCTTGTCTAAGATTACCGTCGTCTGTCATCAAACCACTGAAGTACCTGAAGTGGCTTTACAACCTTTACCCTACTTTTTTCAGTCCATATTTCCTAAGCTTTCTAAAATGGCTCCCACCTTGTGACACTTTCTTTGTTTAAACTACAGCCAGGCAAATACAATCAACTCGATTCTATCCTATCATTAAATAGCCTAAGGCCTACTGTAGTCTATGCAGGGAGTGCATGAAGCACTCACTGTGGTTCTGAAAGTGCTCATGGATCTGCAAAGTTTCTGCAGCTGCCTTCAGGCCTCAGGGGTTTGGAGGGATGGTGGAGAGGTGAGAATTGTGGCTGTGAGGAACAACATGCCCCCATCAGGCTGATCCCAAATACAAGTTGTCGATGTGCTAGGGAGCAGGGAGCTAAGTGCAGCAGCAAAGCTTAGGATGTGGTGGGGAGGGTACTGACTCCCTTGACTTGCATTTACACCTTGTGGCTGTGAAGATCTTGTCTAGCACAGAACAGAGCTCCCTTGAGATGCAGAGTGCTGTGGGGCTTCACACGTGCAGTGATTGCTGATTTGGTCTCTTCCCCCTGGAAAGCTCCATTTAACCCCCTTCCATTTATCTGATTGGAGGCAATGGTAGGAGCTGCCAGCTTTTCACTACAGGCCTCTGAACTCTGCAGGGAGCACACAGGTCTAGGTTTGAGCTCTGTAGCACCCTTTAGCTAGCCAGGGCGGCTGAGCTGTCTCAGCGTTCTCCATTTGGAGACACTGCAACTACAGTACCATTGTGGGTGTGTGAGGCCTAGCAAGGGATGGAAACCTGTGGGGTACGTGGTCCTGCCTTGCCCCACCTTGGTGTACCCTATGGACTGTGCCCTGCTCTGTGAAAGCTCTTTGCAAATCTTTTGGCTCTGGGCAACCTCTTGCTTTGGACACGATGGGGAAAACACCAGGCTGTTCCTTGCCCTCCTGGCAGGTTGGGGTGGGCTCTCCCAGTGCTGCTTAGGCTGGGTAAAAAGACCAGATGCCGGGTGCCTTGTAGATGTGGCGTGGAGTTCTGTCTCCATTCCTGGTTATCAGCAGACTTCTGATGTCATGTGAGGTCATCAAGGTGCCATGGCCCCTGGATAGGACATCAAACCAGGACTGGAAAGTGCTGGGCCCCCAGGGTCTGTCCCTCCTAGGTCAGTCTGTCTGCTGCTTTGCAGCATGTGGAGATGAGAGCAGCGGGAAAGCTAAGCACAGTGGATACCAAGGCAGCCAGTGTTTGCATCCCCCAGCTCCAGCTCTAGCCCATTTGGAAACCTTCCCCTCCAATGTGGAAGAGCTGAGAGTACTGAGCTCCCAAGAACCTGGTTATTTGATAGCTACCTAACCAAGCCTCTTCCTGCTGTCCCCAGGAAGTGATGCTGCATCCCAGCAAGAGTTCACCTCCTGTCTGAAAGAGACGCTCAGTGGCTTAGCCAAGAACGCCAATGACCTCCAGGTGAGGGTTCAGCGGGGGCTTGTTCCGAGGGTCCTGGGATCAGGGTGATGATGGGTGGCCATGGGCTGGCCTCTCCCAAAGGAGAGCAGTCTAGAAACATGCCGGGCACATGCAGGAGTGATGTTTCCTGCTCCTTAAATAGCAGGCCTGTTGTTCACTGGGAGCCAAACCACATGACTCATGTCATGCTCTATGTGGGAGTGAGTGGCAGCTCAGCAGGGGGTGTTCTCACCTCGGTGCCACTGGAGCTCCCTGCACGCTTGCCTGTGGGTTAGCAACTGGCAAATGCTGTGCCATGCCTGCAGGGCCGCATAGGTCTCACTCCGGGCCCTGCTTCCCCGCAGAACCCCAGTGTATCCGAAGAGGAGCTGGCAAAAGCCATGGAAAGCCTGGGCATGGAGGAGGGCGAGAGCGAGGGGAACATCCTGCCCATCATGCAGAGCATCATGCAGAACCTACTCTCCAAGGACGTGCTCTACCCCTCCCTCAAAGAAATCACAGAGAAAGTAAGTGGTGGGTGCTGGTGGCGGCGCAGCCCCTGTCCCCACCCCAGTCTCCACATCTCTGCCTCCTTTGCCCTCTAGTACCCCGAGTGGCTGCACAGCCACCGTGACTCCCTGCCTGAAGAGCAGTATGAGAAGTACCAGGAGCAGCACAGCATCATGGGGAAAATCTGCCAGCAGTTTGAGGCCGAGCAGCCGACGGACAGTGATGCCGAGCAGAAGGCTCGCTTTGAGATGGTCTTGGACCTCATGCAGCAGGTGAGAAGTTGGGCCTCGCCCTAGAAAGCAGCATCCAGGGAGATGTAGCCCCTGTCTCGGCATTTTTGGCTCTTGAATCCCTGTCCTCTGGGGGCTGGGCCTGGCTACAACCTGGTGGCAGAGCCACAAGTAGTGATCATCTCAGGCCATGTCTGACTGCATTGGGATCTAGGTGCCTAATGAGAGGCTGTGCGCGCCCCCTCCTCCTCCCCCCAGCACGTATGCCCTAGATGCTGCTCAGAGCTGCACTCTCTGATACTGCCGGTCTCTCTTCCAGCTGCAGGACTTGGGGCATCCTCCGAAGGAGCTGGCGGGGGAGTCGGTGAGTGTGCTGGGGCATTTTGTAGGGGTCTTGGTGCTGGGCTCCCACCCCCTGGGCAGCCAAGAGGGAGTCAGGCTGGCTGGACCATGGACTCGCCATTCTCCTCTCCACATCCTGGGGTCTAGGAGCAGCCATGCAGCCTCACACTTCCTGGCTGTGGGGCGCTTGGAGGCTGGGGAGGTAGCACTGCTCTGCCTGTGGGCTGCCCCTCCTGGTAGGTCCCAGATGGGTCATCTCCTGCTGTGGTCCAGCCAACCTGTTCCTGGTGGCAGTGGGGAGGGAGGGCAGACAGCACTGGCAAGAAACCAGGTCAGCAGACTGAAAAAGGAGAGCTCTTCCTGAGCAAACCCAGAGGTGCTGCCTCCCTCTAGCCCATCATGACGAGAAGAGTCATTGCACTGGGGAGCACTGACACAGTCCCATCCCCACCAGATAGGGTCAAGCGGGCACAGGAATATCCCATACTGGCGCTTCCAGGTAACCATCAAGAAATCGCCCCTGAGCCAGAACTTGCTCACAGGCCAGGCCAGGATCCTGAGATGGCCCCCCAGCCCACCCACATTCTTGCCTGCCCTCTGGCTGCAAGGGCACCTGCTCTGGGGGGTTCTCTGCTCACCACTTCACTGCTGGGATCTGGCACAGGGAGAATCCCGGTCCCTGCACAGCCCCAGGCCGAGCGAGGTAGGCTGTAGAGCCAGCAGGGCTCTCTTCTCCAGCTATGAGGTTCCAGGCCCTGCATTAGGGTGGGTGCTGATGTCTTCCTGCCAAGGCTTGTTTTGCTTTTTCCTCCATTGTCAGCGTGAAATGTGGGGAGGAGAGTGCGCTCTGAGGAACGCAGCCTGCAGGGCTTGGCGCTGGGCAGATAGCTGTGGCATTTGGGAGCCTGGGACTGCAAAAGAGAGCTGCCCACCTTGAGACTGGCATCAGCCCAGGCTGGTCTTAACCCTTTCCTTGCCACACCCTCTCCTGAATCAGGGCTTGGAACTGAGCTGCTTTTGCAGACCTTTGCCCTCTGCTGCTGGCTGGCTTAGTGCTGTAGCTCTTGTCTCAGGAGTGCAGGACTCAGGCCTGTCTTCTGCCTGGCCCTTCCCCTGGAGTCCTGCACACAGCTGGGCTGGGGGAACTCCCACATGCTCTGAGACTGCAGACAGCCCTTGGCAGCTCTGCCCCTGCCCTACCCTGCCCATGCAGGGATGGTGCCTCCTTTGCGAGCATGTCACTGCCCTCTGCTGACTGCTAGCAGAATTGCCCTTTTTGGTCCTGAGTGCTCCACAGTCTGGTTCATCTTGGGCAATGGGATTTCTAGGGGAGAAGGCTGCCCCCTCCCCCTTCCTCTCCCCCTCCATGACCTGGTTGGGTGTGTTCGAGAGGATGGGATGGTTCTGAAATACCTGGGCCACAACCTCATCCCTCCTTCCCCTTGTCAGGCTCTTGTCAGTGACCTGGCTCGACCCCAGTCTCAGGTAGTGCTGTGGGGTCCGCTTGGGAGAAGATTTGGGAGCAGGACTTGCTGTTAGGGCCTGATTTTCACCCCTGCTCCCTAGAAAGTGCCCTGGTGCCAGGCGTCTGGCTGCGTGGCCTGTCACCAACAGGAGGAAATGGCAAGCTAGTTGTGGCTGGACAGAGTCAGGATCAGTGAGAGCCAGCTTGCAGGATGGGATGCACCTTACTCCTCCCTGTGGCAGGTCACAGCAGAGATCAGCCTGGGAGCTCTCCCAGTACGCTCCTGGCTCAGGATTGGCGCATTGTTCCATGAACCTCGGGGGCTGTCCAGGGAGTTTCCAGGAGCAGGCTGGGTGGGGAGGGCCTCTTGCCTGGAGCCCTGCAGCTTCTTGTGCTCCAGGGAGACCTTCTCTCTGATGGAGGAAGCAGCCAGAGCCTTGGGAGGTGAGCTGGGACTCCTGAGTTTTCTCATCTTGCCCGAGTTGGCCTTGAGAGGCCCCAGTCCTGTTGTGAAGTCTGGACACATTGTGGCCAGGCCTCGCTGTTCCGCCTCCTGATCCTGCTCTTTCTCCGCAGCCCCCAGGCCTGAACTTCGACCTTGAGGGGCTGAACCTGCCGGACGCAGCCAGCGCTGGAGGCGAACAGTGTCGGATCATGTGACCCCACTCCCCCGCAGTCATGGCGAGGGGGGACAGGTGCTAGCAGGGGCACAGGCCCTGCCCTGGCTGCGGTGTCTAGAGCTCATTAATCTATAATCACAGCCCCGCTAGGGGGACCTAATCAGAGGCCTCCAGAGAGGCCAGGACTAACGGACTGGTGCCTGGCAGGGTTGTCTGGAGCACTGCCCTGGCCTGGGCCCTCTGCCCTGGAGGTGCCCCAGACTGGTGCTCTCACTCTTCCTACTTAACCCCATGGGTGCTGGGGTCTTGTGGAGCAACTGCTGTAGGGAGCATCTTAGGAAGCACAGGGCTGCATTTGATTGATTGTGCTGTGAAATCCGTTCCCGGCTGGAAGGAACAACCATCTCCCTTGGCCCAGGCACTTCTCATTTAAGCCTCTTCCTGCTGCACAGACCCCCAGATGGGCAGGGCTGGGGGAACTTTGCTATCTGTCTGCTACAACCGAGCCATCGGGCTCAGGCTCCCATCCTGCCCTGCCTGCCAACAGGCTCTGGTGGTCAGCCATGCAGGGGCACATCCCCTCGAGGACAGGGAGGGAATGGGTTAATCAACTCCCTTGAAAGGGGGAAAGGAGTTGCAGCTTGCTGCAGTCTGTGCCAGCCCCTTCACTTGGCCTGCATCAGCAGCAGCCAGGACCTCCATCTCCATTTGAAGCAGCTGGGTTTATTCTTTAGTCCACCAGCTGCTGCCTTTGCTAAAGCAATGCCAGTCCCAGCCCCCAGGAGCAGCCGGTGTAAGACCTGCCTGACCCCTCAGACCTCCTGTACCTGACACCAGCAGTCACTGCCCTGGGAGACCCCTGCTCATGGTGGTTTGTGCAGCGCCTCCTTGACCAGGACCTCTGAATCTGGGCACAGGGGGAGGTCTCCCAGGAGTGAGGCTCTGTCTTGCCTGCCCATGACCTTGCTGACTTTGGTTTCAATTGCTGGCCGTTATGTACAGGGAGGATGTTGTTCCTCCTAGCATGCAGCCCCCTCTGGAGAGGCACAGAGGCTGCGTCAGGATTGCCCCTGGGGCAGGAATGTTCCCGGGGCTGCTGCTGGCCAGTGTCCAGGTGTCAGCTCTGGTGGGACTTCCCCGCCCCTGCTGGCAGGACCTGGCTGTACGTGATGGGTTACCTGAATGACCCAAATAAAGGTGGTGGCAATCTCCCTGGCTCTGTTCCTGTCTCCCTCTATGGGCTCAGGGAGGGGACCCTGATGGGGGAGAACTGTCCTCTGGGCACTGACAGCCACGCAGCTCCACTCCCCCCTCCGGGTTCATCCTCATTCAGGGCAGTACCATGGGCTCTGGCCACTGGGCTCTGCTTCCCCTTGTGGGGACACCTCCAGCTGTATGGTAACAGGAAAGTGGCACGCAGCGGGGGGTTGCGGCTGCCCCGGCTGCTCTTGATAGGGAGAATCTCTCAAAGCTCCTCCCAGGTTGCTTGCCCCATTTGGCTGGCACTGCCCAGGCTGCTGGAGATGGTGGGCTGTGATAGCCCTCATGGATCTACACCACGAGAGGCTAAGGATGCTCCTTTTCTATGCACAGTGGGGTGTAATCTTTGACCACCACAGGTCCTGAGTCCAGACTCCAGGGCAGGAGTTTCCAGGTAGTGGCCATTCACAGTCCCTTGTGGCATCCCAGGCATCAGCCCTATGCAGCTACTGCACAGCCTGAGACATGCCTGGACTGTAGTCCATGGCTCCCCCAGGTGCAGACCACACTCAGCTGGTGAGGTCTGGCAGTGCCAGCAGCCCTAGCTAGGCTCTCCTGCTCAAGGGGTGGCTGTGTTCTCCCTCCCATCAAGCTGGGCCTGGAGGGGACCAGGCTGTGCTGTTACCACTGGGCTCTAGTGGGAAATCTGCATTGTGCTTGGGGCTCCTACACTGGGCAGTGCTGGGGAGTCCTGGCTGGCCCAGCCCTCCTTGGAGATCCCAAGTCCCCCTCTGCTGCTAATGTGAATGGGGGCTGGAGTTGCTTTGGCCCTTCACCTCTCTCCCCTGAGGACACAGTAATATCCTATTTCCCTGGGCAGTGCATAGGGCTGAGCCAACCAGCAACCATATTGCTGGATCCCTGTGCAAAACAGGGGCAGCCGCTGGAGGGGTGCCATGCACATGTCCGCTTAGTCTGGCTGGGTCTTTTGTGGCGCCTAGTGGCACTGGGTGGCCCTGAGCCCCAGGCTTAAATTTCCAGAAGTGCCTCATTCTTTTCTGCTGGGCCCTGCCAGGCTGCGGCACTGCCTGGAGCACATCCTGCGACCTGCCCTGGTGTGAGATGCAAAGCACGGGGCTTTCGCAACTGCCTCCCCCTGCAAAGCCCACCCCTGACTGCCCTGCAGGTGGTGACAGTCTCCTCCCTTGCCCCTGCCCCTCCACAGCAAGTTGCTGAGCTACATACTGCTGCCTGCCCCAGGGTTGACTGTTCTCATCAAACAGTCCTTTATTCAGTGCGATTTCTGGTCTGTAATTAGAGATGGGAACTGGCCTCTTGCCTCTTTAGCGTGCTCCTGGGAGCATGAAGGGAATAGCAAGGGACCATGGCTCCCACCCATGCCAGCCAGCAGCACTGTGTAGGAGCCAGGGCTTGGTGGCTGGCGCTGCCTGCAGATGAGCAACCGGAGGAGATGGTGCTACAGGAGTAAGCACCACTGTGCTGCTTGGATCCTCTCCAAGAGCTGGGCCCCCTGCTTTCAGCACTGCCCACTCTCTTCTGGGTCCTTTGCTTTATCCCTGGTGTGAGCAGCAAACCAAAGCCAAGTGTCCAAGCACATATCCCTGTCCCGGTCCTGGCTCCAGCTATGACGTGGCTCAGATTCACTGGTCTCGCTAGCTTTACACCTTTGGAAGCAGCTCTCTGTTACCCACTAAACAACACAAGGGGCAAAAGTCCTGACTGCAAAGCCAGCCCTGCACTGGACTAACGCCCATCTGTAGTGTTGGCTGTGAAGGCCTTCACTGGGTGCCTGAGTCTCTCTCATGCCTCAAAGCCAAGTAGTTCCTCGGCAGCAGTGAGTCCACCGAAGCCAGGGGAACCAGGCTGGTGGCAGATCCAGCGCAGCAGAGGAGCCAATATGCTGAGCTGGCCTTGCCATTCAATACAGCCCAGCCCAGGCTGATCACAGCTCTTTCAGGAGGTGCAAGTTGGCAGCAACTACCTCGTGTGCTGTCGGGAGCAGGGGCTGGTTGATTGCTGACCAATATCCCAGGCTCTCTCCCGACCCTGCTCAACTGCTTTCAGGGCATGAGGACTGTTCTCCCCTGCATGCTGGCAGCCCACTCCTAGAGCACGTGGGAGCTCAGCCCCTCACTGAAGGGCCAGAGATTATACAATCCTAGGGAAGTGGGGCTGGAAGGGACCTCCAGAGATCATCTAGGCCATCCCTCTCATCATCCCTCTCCAAACCCTCCCAGACAAATCCATCATCTAACCTCTTAGTAAAACTACCATCAGCCCTGACACAACACCAGGCGTAGACCCTAGATCAGTGGTGGGCAAAATGTGGCCCGGGGGGCTGGATGCAGCCCATCAGGCCATTCTATCTGGCCCATGGGGCCCCTAAAAAATGTAGAAAATTAATATTTATCTGCCCTGGGCTGCCTGTCATGTGGCCCTCAGTGGCTTGCCAAAACTCAGCAAGCGGCCCTCTGCCCAAAATAATTGCCCGCCCCTGCCCTAGATGTTTGAAGCCAGGTCTACGAGTCCCAGTTCTCAGGCCGGGGCTGGGAAGGAGACCTCGGGCAGCGACTGCAGGGACGGATCCCTTGGGCACGGCCTTCCCAGGGTCGTAGCTGCAGCTGGGTCCTCTCTGGCACAGCACATCTGAGAGTACAGCTGCAGGAGCAGGGGATGCTGGAGCAAAACGAGGGACTGGATCCAACCCAAAGGCAAAGGGAAGTGTTTGTGGATATGCCTGGCTCTCGCCTCCTGTTTTCCATCAGCGGATCCGCGTGTTACGGAGGTCGGGACTCACAGGTGGGGAAACCGAGGTTGGGGGGTGGGGGGAGGTGACTTGGCAAAGGTCTTACAGGGGAGGGCAAGAATCCAGGTCTAAACCTGAAACGCTGGAGGCTGCCCGCGAGAGAGGAGCAGCGTGGAAAACCCTAGTCCGACCCACTTCTCTTCCTTTCAGCGTCCGCTGTGCGATGCAGGCCTTTTTGCTCTGCCAAGGGGAGGCCAAAGCCCACCGAGGAAACTGTAACTCCTCCTTAAGGAGAGAGGCCACGAAGGACACGACAACTGATTTCTGGGGACAAAAACACAGGGAAGGGAGCAAGGTGACGGGTTTGTAACGAGGAGCCGGACGGGGACCCAGCGGACGCTGCCCCTGTACAGGGCACAGGAAAACGGCCCCAGAGCCTGGTCGGACAGACCGGGGGGCCTGCGTGACATCGGGGACTAGGCCAGACGGACCGGGGCGCTGAGCTCTTCAATGGCTGTTTTCACGTCTCTCGAGGATCCCGGCCCCGGGGCTTCCCAGGGGGACGCGAGACGAAGCTGGTCCCCGTTCCCAGCTGCCACCCTCCTAGCGGGTGAACTCTTTTTCCACTTCCGTGGCGGGAACGCTCCCTTTATGGCGCAACAGCTGCGACCCGCGATCGCTGTCACGTCTGGCAGATATCAGGCTCAGGTTCAGCAAGGAGCGCAGCGCGCACGCGCGAGGCAACTGTCGCGAAGCCGCGGCTGCCGTAAAGCGCCCCTCCCAGTGGCTGGGGGGCGAGGGCGGGGGGGGGCCAGAAAGCCCGGGGGG